TTTTAGTTTTTGAGAAAACAATATTTGAAGTTTTGATAAAATTTTCGATGTTGCAATTTTCATCGATAACTTTCAAAATTCGCTATAAAATTAATTTCTTGAAGGATCCTTGTGGAAATATCACCAATTATTAATTAAAGTATCCTCTTTTTAATGCAAAAAGCAGTTTCGAAAAATCACTTTTAGTTCTTGAAAAATAAATTTTTGAAATGATCGACAATTTTTTCGAATTTTGCAATTTTCGCCGATTAAGTTTTAAAAATTCGTATAAAATCCATTTCTTGGAATATGAATATGAAAATTTCCCAAAGTGTTAATAAAAGTGCCCTCTTTCCAATGAACCAACATGTTTTGAAAAATATATTTTAGTTTTTGAGAAAACAATATTTGAAGTTTTGATAAAATTTTCAATGTTGCAATTTTCATCGATAACTTTCAAAATTCGCTATAAAATTCATATTTTGAAGGATCCTTGATGTGCAAATAAAATCCTTATTTATTTGTTGTACCATAAAACCCATCTAAAGTACAAAGCAATGAAAAAGCCAAAAATAAAAATCGTTTTTTGCTTTCTGTGGGAGCGATATTACATTTTACTCGGTCATTTTTAGTGGGATAACAGCTGCCAAAACTGTTGTAGCTTTCATTGATTTTTTTAATATAAAAGGGGGTTTTGTATAGAAATGTGTACAATAGGAACCATTTGGATCAAAACGAAACACGATTCTTTTTGATAATATTATCCCGAAAAAAACTCTTTAACATATTTTCTCTTCTTTCTATTTAGACACAATTACCTAACTAACCTTTATTTGCTCTTCTAATTCTCACATCTATATTCGACCATTTGAGTTTCTAAAATCACTTTGTTTATGTTAAAGAATGTCTGTTAAAAATTTAACTCTTATTATTTTTTTTCTAGATTTGGATTGGGATGGAAAATAAAAATTTAAAGTTAAAAAATAGTGTTAGTGCGCGATTAAGTAAAAAATAACTTAATTAAAACTAAAGATATTGTTTACACATTTATTTTGGGTAAAATTTAGTGAACAATATGGGTTGTAAACTGGGAAAACTAGCTGCGAGTAGTACCGGAAACCGCAACAGTAAGTTGGACGATCCACCACCGCCACCACCTTTAGATTCAAGACTACCCTTAAGCGCTAAACAAAAATATAACATGTTGGCTTCATGGAAAGGAATTAGTAGAGCCATGGAATCAACGGGAGTTACCATGTTTCTTAAGTAAGTAATTATTTTCAACAATCTATAGGAAAAATACATTGATTACGCTCATTTCTGATATATCCGTGTTTACAATAACATTTTTTTTCGTGTTTATTTCTGCACTTTGCCGTTTGATAATTTTGGCAATTCGCGCAATCTCTACCAACAGCGGCATAAGTTTCATTCGCAGAACACGTACCTAATCAATAAATTAAAAAAATTAAAAATAAATCAATAAGAAATGGATAAAAATTTTCATACGACATTCATAAGGTCGAACACAAGTCCCATCAACGCTTTCTCTTACATATCCCATCTTACAAAACTTCCCACATATTTTCGTACCATAACAAGGAACCAATAAATCTAAAGTAGAACAAGATTGTTCGCAAGGAAGATCGCAACGATATTCTTCATTTTCTACAAAATCTTATCAAAAAAAAAATAAATATCATTTATTGCATTATTAAATATAATATTAATTACTTACCGTAACAATTTCCATCAAAAATTTGTTGGAACAAGAACAGTAAAACGAAGCAAAACGAAAACATGTTTATTTATGATTAACATTTATGAAACAAAGCAAAAATTTCATAGAAAATCTTATTTATATATAGTTATTGAGTTCCCTTTAAAAGCATAAAGGCTTTTATTGTGTTGAATTGTTTGAAAATTTTATAAAGCCACTTTTATGTTATACACGTTTTGAAATAAATTTTTATGTAAAAAGAGTTTTGTTTTAAATTAAAAGTAATTTTCCTATTTAGGATTTTTAATAAAATATTTTATGGGAGCATGTTAAATACTTGTACCTCGGTGAAGTTGAGAAACTGTCGTTATTTAGTGACGAATATCTAAAAAATTCGTAAGATTTATTTATTTTAATGGATGAAGATAGTGTGTAGAAAGAAGATAGTATGTAAGGGAATTTTAAGAAGTTATAAGAAGACTGGAAATGAAGTACCAAGTCTTGAACCTTTTACTTTAAGAAGTTTATATTGTTGGCTAGGAGAACTCAACCTAAAATAAGCCAACCCAACCTAAGTGTAGATGAATACTAGATGAAACTGCACCTTTAGGCTTTTACCATCACATAGGTGCCACTTCCAATCTTCTTTCAAGTTTCCTTTCAGAGTCTGCCTTTTCTTGTACCATCCAAGAGATGCAAATACGGTATAAAAACGGATATTTTATCATACGTTAGCTTTCCTCTCTATATGTATAGCCTTTCTTCTACCTTACAATACTTTTTCTGCTTCCATGGCTTCCAGCTTCTTATGGACCACTCTGGCTGCGTGTTCTGCTTTGTCTTTTGCTTTGGTACTCGTTTTCCCCTTTATTATCTACTGTACACATATGCTACCATACTGACTCCAAATTCCATTTTTGTTCTCAGTATTTCATTTTAGAAGATATTCCAAATGTTGTTATACAAATTCATCTTGGTGTGAGGCACATCACGCAAGATGTTTTGGATGGGCATATCGTGGTGGTGCAAGTGTTTAACCGGGTACAGAAAAATGCTTTATTGGCAGGAAAAAGATTTCTTCTTCTTCTTTTCGGATATCAATTGATTTAGGAGTAAATTTTTTGGATATCATGCTGGTGACCTTTTGAATGCTGATATAAAATCTCTGGAAATTCTTGAGAGTCTATTCCATAATGTTGACATCCTTTTACATATCGTTAATCAAACATATATGTTATCTATCTATACCTTATACCTCTATACTACATTACACAGAATCCTACTTAACACAGTTTTTACAACAACTCCGATAGCCTTTATCATTACTTAAAGACGTTATCTGTTAGATTCGTTGGGACAAAAAAATAACTGGTATTGAGATACAATTGCTTCCAATTACTCAACAAATCTGACAAAATACATCAAATAATTAAAAAAGAAAGCCTGTGGATGACAAAATTCCATGCAGAAGAAAATTTTGCTTAATAAACCCAAGGTCTTATCATACATAAATAATCTAGGTTGATCCATGTGACATAACAATCTTACCCAACATTGTTCAACCTAGAGATTATTGATCAAAATATCAATTTTAGACATCCTGTATCTCTTAAACAAATAAGATTGGTGTAAACTAGTGGTGGAACGGATATCTTTGGGCGAATATTAAAAACCCTTTTACTTGGTACTCCACCATTCACAGGAATTAGTATCTCTTTTAGGTGTTGGACACTGCAGATAATAATCAAGTTCAACCCCAATAGGACTTTTCATTGAATACAACTTTATTTATATCAGGTTGCTAATAAAATTAGCAACCTCAATTTAACGATTTTCGCCGATTAAGTTTTAAAAATTCGTATAAAATCCAGTTCTTGGAATATGAGTATGAACATTTCCCAAAGTGTTAATAAAAGTGTCTTCTTTCCAACGAACCAACCCATTTTGAAAAATCGCTTTTAGTTATTGAGAAATAAATTTTTGAAATAATCGATAATTTTTTCGAATTTTGCAATTTTCGCCGATTAAGTTTTAAAAATTCGTATAAAATCCATTTCTTGGAATATGAGTATGAAAATTTCCCAAAGTGTTAATAAAAGTG